CGTTCATCCTCTGGGGCTCAGCCAGCTGGGAGGTGCAATCCTGGAAATCAAAGGAGATGGCGCTTCCTCGCCCAGGAACGCCGCTCAGGGTGGCATCCTTGCAGGCAAAGTTTCCCGTCCTTGCCTTTTTTCGGTGTCCCAACTCTTCCTCAGCCCGCCTGGCACCGCAACGCCGTTCCTGGCTCGGCCGCGGGAGACTGTGGCTGCCCCACGCCCTGGCACTGGTGCAGAGGGGCGCACCCCCTCCCCGCAGCCTGGGATAGCCCCCGTCGTTGCCCAACCCCCGGGTGCTGCTGCGTGGCCGGGGGCTGCGGGCGGTCTCCATGAAAAGCAGCAGCTGCCCCCCGCCATCCACCCGGCTCCAGCAACCGGGAAGGGATGGGAGCACGTCCCGGCCCGCGCGTGGGTCGCCAGCCCCGAGCAGGTGTCTGCGGGCGGGCTGGGATGGAAGGGGGGTGCGGGGTTGCCGCATGCGGGGGAAGCCATCTCCCCACGGCATCCCTGCCGGCCCCGAGGGCTGCGGGGGGACTGGGGGAACACCTACCTGGACGAGCGAACCTGAACGGCTGCAGGGCTGCCGTGCCCGGGCCGGGGGCGGAGGGGGGGTCACCCCACGGCGCCGGGCCGGGCCCCACGCGTCTACCGCGGGCCGGCTCCGCCGCTCCCCCCCCTCCTTCCCCGCGGCTGCCGGCAATCGCGGCGCCGTCTCCCCGCGCAGCAACAAGCGTTGCGGGAAGGGGAGGCAGGAGGGAGCGAGCGCTGTCCTGATGACCACCCCCCTCCTGGGCGCATTCCCCCCTCCAGCCTCGGGGCTGCCGGGGTGCCGGGTGCCCGCCGAGCATCCCGCAGCACGCCCGGGCGGGGGGGGGGGGAAGGCGGAGCGCCCCCCGCTCCGCACACACCTTGCGCGACCCGAGCCGCCGCCGCCGCTGGTGCAAGGTCGCTCTTCCTCCGGCCCCCGCCCGCCGTCCGCAGCCCCCCCTGGCCCCGCCGGGACGTGCCTCCGCAGGCAGCCCCGGCCCTGCCCCTGCCGCAAGCCCCGGCCTGCTCGGCGCGGCGGGCGCTGCTGCGCGGCTCGGGCGGCCCACGCACGGCCCCGAGCATGCGGGCACGGCGGGCACCCGCCGCGCGCATCCGTGTGCGGCACCCGCGCGGGCACGGCGGAGCACGTGCGCGCCCGCCCGCCCACGCGGACGCGGTGCGGGCAACACCCGGCGCGGGCGCGCACGGGCACCGCCGCCACCGCCGCGCACATATGTGTGCGCGCTCCCGCGGGCACACAGGCGCGCACGGCCCCCCCCCCCACCCCCCCCCGGAGTGGGCGCGCACACGCGCTGCCGCCCCGCACATACGTGTTCACATGCCCGCACATGCGGGGGCAGGCGCAGCCCGGGCACGGGCGTGCACGTGAGATGCCACCCTGCACATACGTGTGCACCGCTCACGGGCACGCACCGCCACCGGGCACGTATGTGCTGCGAGGGCCAGCACGTGCACAGGCACCACGGCTGCGCACATGTGTGTGCACCATCCATGCCCAGGCAGGCACGTGCGTGGCTTCCATGCCCGTGTGTGCGGTCACAGGTCACCACATGCCCAAGCCTGGACATGCCAGGCATGGGAAAGCACATGCACCACGTGCACGTGGGCACGGGCGAGCACACACATCACCACTGTGCGTATATTTGTGAGCCCCTCACACGGGTGAGGGCAGGCACAAGGCTGGCACGGGTGGGCACGGACACTGTGGCCACCCTCATCTGTGTGCACGTGCCCACATGTGCACAGGCAGGCAAGGGTGAGCACGTGCACCATTGCCGTGCAACCATATGGGTGTATGGCAACACACGCATGGGCACATACAGGCATGGACGAGCACACGCACGGACACCTCCACACGCTTATACACACACTTGCATGTGCATGGAAACGTGCTGGCAGCGTAGAAAGCCACCCATGTCCTGGGTGCATCCCCAGCAGCGTGGGAAGCAGGATGAGGGAGGGAGTTCTCCCCCTCTGCTCTGGTGAGACCCCCCGGAGTGCTTGGTCCAGCTCTGGGGCCCCCAGCACAAGGAGGATGTGGAGCTGTTGGAGCAGGTTGGAAGGAGACCTCAGAGATGCTCTGAGGGCTGGGACCTATCTACTATGGAGACAGGCTAAGAGAGCTGGGGTTGGTCAGCCTGGAGATGAGAAGGCTCTGGGGAAACCTTAGGGCAGCATTTCAATATATTAAGGGGGCTCCAAAGGAAGAGAGAGTTTTCTCAGGGCCAGTCATGACAGGACAAGGGTCAAAGTGACTGATGGTGGGGTTGGTTGAACAGAAAGAGGAAATCCTTTACCATGAGGGTGGTGAGGCACTGACACTGCCTAGAGAAGCTGTGGCTGGCCCATCCCTGGAAATGTTCAAAGACAGGATGGATGGGGCTTGGAGCATCCCTGGAAGATGCCCACCCCCCTCCCCAGAGCTGTGTTTGCATAGAACATGCTCTGGAGTGTGTGCTGGAGTGCACACACATGCACACACATGTAGGGGTGTGCTGCCAAACACCCCATGGGCAGGGAGAGAGGGTCTGGCATCACTTTCCACCCCACAATGTCTCATGGTCCCCCGCTCTCATCTTACCCACTGCTGCTCTGGGCCCTCATGCTGGCAACCAGGCAGGCCTGGACAAGAGTCCTGCATCCTCCCAAACCACAACCCCCCCCTCTGCTGGGCCATGCCCAGAGGCAGGGAGGGCTCCCTTGTCCCTGCCCGATGCATGGCTTTGTCCTTTGAGCTCCAATGAGCAGCAAGGCAAGGGGGCATACTGTGGGGTTTGGATCTCCATGTTCTGGGACTCCCCATCTCCCACATGGGGCAGGGGTCTCTCACTGAAGCATCACTATCTGCCGTATCCTCATCCTTCCCCACCTCCTGGTCCCTCAGGACGAAGTGTGTGGGATACAGCGGGACAGAGCCAGGACCTGTAAAACGGAGAGATCATAGTGATGGGTAGAGAGACTTCAGGGCCAGGGGCTACCCCACCTTTGTGGGTTCTGTTTTCACCTATGCTATGACGGGCCCACCATCCTGCAGCTCCCCTGGGGTCCCACACAGGGATCCGCAGGACCCCCAATCCCGTGGCCACAATCCAGCACTGAGGACCCCCATACCCAGCAGCCTGGCCGTGCCACCATGCCCTGAGCCCACAGTCCTGCCTGGCAGCAGCAGGACCTGCATGGAGGGGCAAGGGGGTCTCAAATGAGGCTGTGGGGCACAGCCCCGCGCCTGCATGCACCCCCCTCCCCGTGCCTGCGGTTATCTGTGTGCATGGGCTGGGACAAGTGGCCCTGCCCACTCACACTTACGCCCACGTTCACCCACGCATGCGTTTGCTCACCTGCGTGTGCACACCCACCCGTGTGCATGCGTTCACTTATGCATATTGTATATATGGGGACACATTCCTGTGTGTGTGTGCGTGTGTTCACCTGCATGTGCAGTCACTCACCAGTGCTTGTGCTGGGGCTGAGCCCTCCTCTGTGCCCCGCGCACACGCGCTCACACACGTGGCACATGCATGTCTGCTCACATGTGTGCGTGCATTCACCCATGTGTGCGCGCTCAGCTGTGTGTGCTCACAGGCGTGTGCCCACTCGTGTGCCCTGACACGCGTGTGCCCGTGCGCCCCGCGCAGCCGTGTGCTTGCACTCCGCGTGCTTTCAGGCAAGCACCGACGACGCGCTCCCATGTGTGTGCACACACATACCCTGCTGTGCGCTCGCCCACACTCACATTCACACTCACTCTGTGCTCACACTCACGCTCACACCCACACTCACCCTGTGCTCACACTCACACTCATGGTCACACCCGCACTCACCCTGTGCTCACACTCATGCTCACACTCATGCTCACACCCACAATCATGCTCACCCCGTGTTCATGTTCACACTCACACGCCCATGCTCACGCTCACACTCACGCTCACCCCGCACTCACCCTGTGCTCACACTCACGCTCAAACTCATGCTCACACCCACGATCACGCTCACCCCGTGTTCATGCTCACACTCACGCTCACACTCATGCTCACCCCCACGATCACGCTCACCCCGTGTTCACGCTCACTCTCACGCTCACCCGCGCGGGGCTCACGCTGGACCATCCCCGGCGTGCCCGCGCCAGCCCCCGCGCGCGCGCCCGCCGCCGCGCGTGCCCGCGCACACCTGCGCTCCCGCACCCACCTGCGCGCGGGCGCGGGCGCTCGCGCGCTCAC